TTGGTTGTAGCCGGGATAACCATCCAAGAAACAGTAATACGCATGACCGGCTAACCTTTCCAGCATTTGATCAATAAATGGCAGAGGAAAATGATCCTTTCTGGTGGCATCATTTAAACTTCTGTAGTCCACGCACATCCTCCAGCCAGTAATGGTTCGGGTTGGAATCAACTCATTCTGATCGTTCTTCACGACAGTCAATCCTCCTTTCTTTGGAACTGTCTGGACTGGACTCACCCATGCAGTGTCAGAAATGGGGTATATCATTCCAGCATCCAGGAGCTTCATCACTTCCTTGCGGACTACTTCCTTCATTGTTGGGTTTAGTCTCCTCTGAGGCTGTCTCACTGGTTTAATATTGTCCTCCATTAGAATCTTGTGAGTACAGAAGGATGGGTTGATTCCCTTCAAGTCAGAAATAGACCATCCAATGGTCGTCTTGTGCTCTTTGAGCACTCTCAACAGCTTCTTTTCTTCAGTTGGAGACAAATCTTTATTGATGATGACTGGGAATTGTTTTTCATCTCCCAAGAAGGCATACTTTAGAGTTTCTGGCAACTCTTTTAATTCTACCGTTGGTGCTAATGGAACTGAATCATCTTCTTTCTTTTCTAACACCTCATAGATAGATTCTCGCCCTTCTTGTGGAGCTCCTTCATCTTGATCGTCAAATTCATCTTCAGTCTCTTGATCATCAAAATGCACTTCTTGTACTGCTTCATCAATCACATCAAGTCTGAAGTAGTCACTGGGGTCAGATGAGTTCTTCATAGCTTTAAACACGTTGATTGTGATTGTCTCATCGTTCATCCGTAACTCGAGCTTTCCTTGTTCGACGTCAATCAAAGCCCGAGCTGTGGCCAAGAATGGCCTTCCAAGCAGAAGAGGTATTTCAGTTTCTTCTTTCATATCCAACACAATGAAATCAGCAGGGAAGATAAACTTGTCAACCTTGACAAGGACATCCTCTAGTATCCCATTGGGTCTCCTTGTTGAACGGTCAGCTAATTGTAAAGAGACCATGGTTGGCTTCAGTTCAGAAATTCCCAATTTTTTGCATATTGACAGTGGCATCAAGTTGATGCTTGCTCCAAGGTCGCATAATGCCCGGCCAACATTGGTGTTGCCTATCGCAATTGGGATGTTGAAACTTCCCGGATCTTGAAGCTTTGGTGGGAACTTCTTCTGAATGATGACACTGCACTCTTCAGTAAGTGCTACTGTCTCACAATCCTGCAACTTATGCTTTCTAGACAATAAATCTTTCATGAATTTAGCATAGTTAGGCATGTTAGCAAGAGCTTCAGCAAATGGAATATTAATATGCAATTTTTTAAACATTTCTAAAAACCTGGCATACTGTTGTTTTTGTGCTTGCTACTTGAGCTTCATAAGATATGGAGGTTTCTCAAAACGAGAATAATCCATCAGTTTCTTTGGAGCTTCAACAGCTTTCTCCTTTGCTTCTTCTTCGTCAGCCTTGCAGGTTCTCCTTCCTCATGCTCCAGCTCAGGTGTTGGCTCATCAACTTTCTTTGGCTGAACTGATTTCGGCTTTTCTTGATAAGTGATCACAATTCCACTCCTTGTCACAATGGACTTGCATTCCTCCTTTGGATTCATAATTGTATCACTTGGGAACTGTCCTTGAGACCTTTCAGCCAACCTTCTAGACAACTGGCCTATTTGACTCTCCAAGTTTCGAATGGAAGCATCCTGGTTCTTGTGGTGGGCTCTGGTCTCCATTATGTGATCATTGGTGGTCTTGGCCAGCTGTATCATCGCTTTCTCCAATTCGGATGGCTCTTTTTGTTGCAGCGGAGGAGGTTGCAGATAGTTGTTGGATTTATAATCCAAGCCGCTCCCTTGATTCCTCCTTTGAAAGTTGTTCCCTTGGCCACCATTCTGAATCCTTTGATAACTTTGAGTGTTCTGTGGAGGCCTTGGATCATACCAAATTCCATTGACCTGGAATGGTTCAGCTCTATTGAGTGTAGGGCACTCATTAGTATCATGCGGCTCCTTACAATACTCACAGTCGAATACATCTACCTTGGATGTTGAGAGCTGCATCTTGTCGAGCTTGGCAGTCAAACTGGCCAGCTGCTGCGAAATCATCTTTTGTTCAGCTAACGAGGCGTCAGTGTTCCCCAGTTGTAAAATTCCCCTTTTGGGATGAGCTGGTTGAACTAGAGGAACTGTAGTCGACGCATTATCATTCCGTGCCAGATAATCAATCAGCTCCAGGGTTTCAGCTGCCGTCTTCTTTCCGATGGTTCCACCGGCTGCACCATTAACAACCATCCTGGTATCTGGTGTTATCCCATTGTAGAAGACTCTGACCTTCTTCTCATCTGGAAAGTCATATTGGGGGCACTTTCTGATCAACTCCTGGAATCTAGTCCAGGCTGCATAGAGAGTCTCTCCCGGCTGCTGAATGAAGTTGGTGATTTCGTTCACCAACTTATTGTACTTTTCCCGAGAAAAATGCTCAGCAAAGAATTTAGCGGCTAGATCGTCCCATGTTCGGATACTGTTAGGAGCTTGGCGATTTAGCCATCTAAGTGTTTTTCCAGTCAAAGTAAAAGGAAACAGCCTGAGTCTGATTGCATCGTCAGACACTCCATGATGCTTAGTGGTGTCACAGATTCTCAGAAATCTGTCCATAAAGTCATGAGGATCTTCGTAATCCTCTCCACCAAAAGGGTTCTTCTCCACCAAATTAATCAGAGACGGGTTGATGTCAAAGTTGTTGGCATCAATCTGTGGCCGGACAATGCTGGAGTTCGGCCTAGTGAACATAGGAGCCAAAATTGACTCCATTAGCTCTCCTCTGGGAGGTGGAAGTGGAGTCAATTTTCTCAAATCTCAATCTTTGATTTTTAATCTCTTCAAATTTCTCTTTGAATTATTCACGAAATATTGAATAGTTCACAATTGTTACAAATACCATTATTTTCAAACCAACCCTTGTTCATCCAATAAGAAAGGAATAGTTAAATTTAAATCCGGTGCCTCAATCCTCGTGGGACGATATCTTACTCACTTTTATTACTTGGTACGATCGGTGCACTTCCCGATTTTACGCAACAACATCCTTGACGCAACTTCAACGTGATCATGAGAAGCTTCAATATCTTCATGCTAGCAACAACAAGAGTTTGAGTGATTTCAAAATCGTATATGAGAAGGCAGAGGGGGAAATGAAGTTAGCCCAGGACAATTTGAAGGAAGCTAGGGTCCAGTTGAGTGAAGCTCAGGACGAAGCTCAACTCTACCGGGGTGAACTTGAAAAATCTATCACTGGTTCCTTTTACAATGCCCTAAGCCAACTGCAAATTCTGAATCCAGATTTGCTTTTGAATGTGGTTGACCTAAGCCCTCGTGCCTATGTTGTTGATGGCCAAATCATGTTCCCAGCGACCGCCTCCCCTTCCCGCGTTTCGGTTTCACAGTCTGAGAAATTTGCTGCCGTCGAGGATGGTGAGGAGGCTACCAACCAATCCGGCAAGGAGGTTGTGGTGCTAAAAGATGATCCTGCCAACCCGTTGAAATGAAGAGCCGGGATGCCGGTTGGATTTGTAGTTTGTTGGGATCCTTTGGGTCCCTTTTTGGTTTATCATGAATATTGCCGGTTTTATCCCGGTTTGAATTTTGTTTCCGAGACATACAACTATGTATTTGAATGCCTTGCTTTATAATATGTTGTTTTGCATTTCTTGATTCTGAATTTTCCATAGATGCATTTATCTAGGTAGTTGATTTGTCAGAATCTAGTACGCCGTTGCAGTAATGCTTTTGCTTAGGCAACTTTACGAGGTGGCCATAACCCGGATATGCCCCCAGCATTAGGATTTCCTAAGTGGCCGAGTTACAAATCCGAGTTACAGAGATATACCTTTTCTTCATACTTGATGATTGATACACCAAGGTTGCATTATTTTTCAGTAATTAGGTGAAATGTTCATCCCAATTTGTTGTCGTAAACTCGTGCATCATACGAGTTTTTTAATTCATGACCTGGCTGAGGTCAAAGCATCGTATGGATTCCGCTTTATGTCAATTTGATGACGCATGTTTGTTTAACTTACTCATTCTGGTAAGTTTGCATATGTAATGGGCCTTGCGTTTTGGCTTAGCCATTTTAATTTCGTAACTCAATTTATCTAAGGTAAAAACAACAATGCCATATGCCACTTTTTGGTATTATGACCAAAATAGTGGCATTTTGACTTGATCAGAGTCATTATGAAAAATTGTATATGTACCTCGGATTTAATATTGATATATCAAAGATAGACAAGAAAAATTGCAATTTTCTCATTTATTGATATCAAATTACGAATTACATGAATTTGCCGGCATATTCGGCTTTTATCAAACCCCTTGTAGAGGGAAGAAAAGTTGCATTTTGATATACTTAAGCGGAGGAATGCAGATTTAGCTGTAGTATGTCTTCAGCTTATCTACATTCCAGGTCCGCTTAACTTCTTTGCCTTCCACTGTCTCCAGGATGTAAGCTCCTTTTCCGAGCTTTTCTTTAACCCGGTAAGGTCCTTCCCAGTTTGCAGCTAGCTTTCCATCTCTGGCATTTTTGTTGCCAATATCAGCTCTCCTGAGCACCAAGTCATTCTTTTCAAAATTCCTTGGTCTCACTTTCTTATTGTACTTTGTTGCAATCTGTTGTTTCGCCATTATATTCCGGCAGTGAGCAGTGACCCTAGCTTCTTCTACAAGGTCTAATTCTTCAATAAGCATTCTATTGTTCTGTTGTTCTCCTTGCTCAAGACTATTCAGCCTTCTCCAGGAGGGTTCTCCAATCTCCACCGGGATCAAGGCTTCACATCCATACGTTAGCCTATATGGGGTTTCCCCAGTTGCAGTTTGGGTACTAGTTCTGTAACCCCACAGGACAAAGTATAACTGGTGAACCCAGCTTTCTTTCGCGGCAAACATTCGTTTCTTGAGACCCTCCACAATCACTTTGTTGGCCGCTTCGGCCTACCCATTTGACTGTGGGTGCTCCACGGACGCGAAACGATGGGTGATGCGTAGGTCTTTCATTAGCTGCTGGAATTTCTTATCAGCAAACTGCGTTCCATTATTAGTAACCACCTCGGCTGGAATTCCGAATCTTGAGACAATATTTCTTTCAAAGAATCTTTGCACTCGAGCCGAGGTGATCGTGGTGACTGGTTCTGCTTCTATCCACTTTGTGAAGTAGTTCACAGCCACGATCAACCACTTGAGTTGTCCTTCAGCCGCTTTAAAAGGTCCTAGCAGATCGATTTTCCATTTGAAGAAGGGCCATTGGGCCGAGATGGATTTCATCTCTTCCGGTGGTGAAAGGATCAACTTGCCGTGCTTCTGACAGCTGTCACATTTCTTGACATGCTCTTTAGAATCTTCCCCCATGGTTGGCCAGTAATAACCAGCTGTGAGGGCTTTTCTGGCCAAGGCTTTACCACCCATATGGTGCCCATTTATCCCTTCATGGATCTCGGCAAGAACATACTCGGCTCCTTCCGAGTCCAAGCATTTTAGCATGGGATTATGCAAGCCCTTTCTGAATAGCTGGTCATTCACGATCGCATATTGGGTCGCATCTCGAACCAGCTTCCTGGCTTCCAGGCGATCCTCTGGCAGTACGCCTTTCTCCAAATAATCAACCAGAGGTTTTCTCCAGTCATTTACAGAGGTTACCACCATCACACAACTCAGCGTCGTTATGCTTTGATGCACCACAGTTCTGTGATTCCCCGGATTTTTGGTGCTGGCTAGCTTCGACAAGATGTCAGCTCGGCTATTCTCCCCTCGCGGGATGTCAGAAACCCGGACCTCATCGAAGTCGGCCATAATTTCCTGAACCCGGCTCAGGTATTTCATCAGTAGAGGACCTTTAGCTTGGTATTTTCCTTCTATCTGCGAGGTTACCAGCTGTGAGTCGCTGAACATGTGCACTTTCCTAACGCCGTGTTCTTTGGCCTGAATCAAACCAGCTATTAAGGCTTCATATTCAGCTTGATTATTGGAAGTTGGGAATCCCAAGTTCAGAGAATGCTCTATGGTCACTCCTTCTGGGCTTTCTAATATGATTCCAGCCCCACTTCCTCTAATGTTGGAAGATCCATCAACGTAGACCTTCCATGCATCCCCGTGTTCCTCATGCTCCGAGTTCTGTGGTGTTAATTCCATTACGAAGTCGGCTAAGGCTTGTGCCTTGATTGCTTTCCGACTTTCATAAACAATGTCGTATTCACTGAGCTCTATTGCCCAGTTAGCCATTCTACCTGCCAGGTCTGGTTTGTGCAACACTTGCCGAATAGGCTGGTTAGTCCTCACAATGATTTGATGGCCCTGGAAATACGGCCGCAACCTTCTAGCCGTGATTAATAGGGCAAAAGCCACTTTTTCTAGCTTTTGATACCTGACCTCTGCACCTTGTAGTGCTCTACTGACAAAGTAAATTGGCTCCTGGCCTCCGTTTTTTTCCTTGATCAGTACATCACTTATTGCTTCCTCCCCTACTGCCAAATACAGAATTAAAACATCTCCTGTGTTTGGCTTTGAGAGGATCGGTGGAGTTAATAAACACTTTTTTATTTTTTCAAACGCGGCTTCGCACGCTGGGTTCCATCCGTCAGTTGCTTCTTTCTTTAAAAGTTTAAAGAATGGGAGGGCATGTTCTGCCGATTTCGGAAGGAACCGTGTTAGCGCCGCTAAACGTTCGGTTAGCTGTTGAACCTCCTTTTTACTTTGAGGCACAATCATGTCAAGAACTGCCTTACATTTATCCGGGTTTGCCTCTATTCCTCTATGGGTTAGCATGAAACCGAGAAATTTTCCAGCTGCCACCCCGAATGCGCACTTGACTGGGTTGAGACGGATGCGATACTTTCTGAGCTTTTGAAAGGTTTGCTCAAGATCCCGGACATGATTCACCATATCGAATGACTTCACGATCATATCATCTACATATACTTCTACATTTTTCCCCAGCTGATCTTTAAAGACCTTATTCATCATTCTCTGGTAAGTTGCCCCTGAGTTTTTAAGCCCAAATGGCATCACATTGTAGCAATAGTTGGCATTTTCAGCAATGAAGGCCATTTTTTCCTGATCAGCTGGGTACATCGGGATCTGGTTGTATCCTGAATAGGCATCCATGAAAGGCAACAGACGAAATTCAGCCGAATTATCCACCAGCTGGTCTATGTTGGGCATAGGATAAGCATCCTTCGGGCAAACTTTGTTTAAATCCGTGTAATCAGTACAGATTTTCCATTTTCCATTCGGTTTTTTCACCATGACCACATTAGCTAGCCACGTCGTGTACTGTATCTCTCGAATGAAACCGGCATCCAAGAGTTCTTTAACGTGCTCCTGTAGAATTTGTTGCCTTCAGGTCCCAGTTTTCGTTTCTTCTGCGAAACTGGCTTGGACCCCGGATAAGCTGCCAATTTGTGACAACAGAATGCGGGGTCGATGCCAGGGATTTTTGACGACTTCCACTCAAATACATCCGTGTTGCTTTTAAGATAGTCGACCAAAATTTGCTTGATCTGGGGGTCTATGGCTTTACCAATGCGAGTAAACTGACCAGGTTCTACCCCCAGCGTTAGATCCTCAAGCTCTCCATCAGGTTCAGGTCTCGGCATTACTTCTTCTCTCATGTCGAGTTCAACCATGTGAACTGGTTTCTTAGATTGCTGAGGAATTAGATTCCTACTGGTTTTATCCCCCAGGTGAATTCGGGGTGGGCTCGAACGTCCCCCTTCATTATCTTTAATAGTATCAAAGTAACAACCTCTGGATTCCTTCTGATCTCCACAAACCGTGATTACTTCATTCTTATTGCTCACCATTTTTAACTTTTGGTGTTTTGTAGAAACTAGCATGTCCCACTGATGTATGGTTGGCCTTCCCAGGATGATGTTGTATTCTGATGGGAAGTTAGCCACTATGAACCTAACCCATTCTGATCTGAATGCTTCTTTTGTTCCCAGGGTTAACTTGAGATCAATGTAACCTTTAGGAGGCGTATGTTCTCCGTTAAAGGCTACCAACGTCGTTCTGCAAGGATTGTGGTCCTCTTCATCCAGGTTCATCTTCTTAAAAGAATCCCAGAGTATGATGTCGGCACAACTTCCTGCATCCACGAAAATCTTCCTGACCAGGCAGTTTACTAGGGTCCTTGCGATTACCAGTCCATAAACATGACCGGGCAGCACCCCGCGCATGTCTTCCTTGGTAAAGTATAACAGAGGTGGATCTGGCTTGGTTGAGTCTTCTTTAAACTTGGGACGATCACGAATGGAGAGTACCTCTTTCAAGTACTTTCTTCTAGCACTTACAGTATCTCCTCCACCTCCCAACGCTCCACTAATCACATTACAATCAAATTCCGCTTCAGGGAATTCGTCATAGTTGGAATCATTTTTCTGATTCTTATCATGTTTGTTCTTCTTTTCAGTAGCGAGGCTTTTGCTTCGGTTCCTGTTCCCCAACTTCCTCTTGTTCTTCTTGGAACCTTGAGTTTTTATCACATATTGATGTATCTACCGTCCCTCACAAACTTCTCCACCGCGTCTCGGAGATCCCAACACTGATCAGTGGTGTGACCTGGCCCATCATGAAAGGCACAGTACTTGGATTTATCTAATCCTCCCCTGTCAAATATGGGACGAGGTCTCTCCACCTTTTTCATCTCCGTCGTGGCTACTTCCCTCCAAATTCGAGAACACGACGCATTCAAAGGTGTATACTTATCGTACCTTCCAATGCGTTCTCTCATGTCCGGGATTCGTTGGCGCTGATCTTTCTTCTTACTGTCAACTCGTTCTTTTCCCTTCGAGGGTGGACTCTTCTTCCTTCTCGGGCTTGTTCTATTGACTTCATCAGATTGTGCATTTGCAATCTCCATTTGCTCTAGTTCAAGGTATTTCTTTGAGAGAGTTCTAAACTCCTCCAATGTCTTTACTGGGTCCTTATAAACCGACTTGGCGAACCTGGATCCGCCGTCGAGACCTGCGACAATGAGATGGACGTGAACATTCTCTTGCAACCCTGGGACCTGCAGCGCAGCGTCCTTGAACAGGTTAAGGTATTTTTGGAAGGTTTCTCCAGGTTGTTGTCGTATCTTTCCAAGAGCGAACTCGGACTTTGGATGCTTCTTGCTGGTTGCAAAGTTCAACAAGAACTTCTATCCGAACTCCTCGAAAGTTCCGATGGAATTAGCAGGCAAGGTTGAAAACCATGCTTGTGCTGCCTCTGTCAATGTTACAGCGAATATTCGGGATATGAGAGGTTCATCAATTCCCCGAATATACATATTCGTGTCAAAGGCATCTCTGTGCACTTGCGGATCTTGGCTTCCATCATATTTCGGTAAACGTGTCGAGTCAAAGTCCTCTAGGAAGACAACATTTAGTATTTCAGTAGTGAATGGGCTATTATTATACTGCCCCCTGCTGTACTTCCTCCTATATCCACCAGGTTCTACTCGTCCTCGGATGTTTTGAATATCTCGTTGATACTGAGCTCTAACCCGGTCCTCCTGACCGTCAGCTTGTGCTTGATGATTTTGTGCATCCTGGGCATCAGTGACCTGGTGACCCTGGTTTAGCAGGTTACCAGGGTTTCTAGGTCCTTCTCGGCCATAGGCAGGCTGGCCTTCGAAATTGGTCATTCCTGGCGCAGCCCGCCGTGTTAATCGTCGCTCCAGGTCTTGCATCCCTCTGTTATTTTCTTCTCGAATAGCCCTGAAATCTTTTTGCCTTTGCAAGTTTGTACGGGTTTCCAACGCTGCTATTCATTCCATAATTGTGTTTAATGCGTTGTTGGCCAACCGAGTATCCGGATCGGCCGATTGAGCGATGCGTGCAGCCAGATCGCCAGGATGCTGGGGAGGGTTGCTCCTTACTGAAGCTACATTTGCTGCAGCTCCCCCATTTCGGGGTGCCGGTGGTTGAAGCGGTGTCCGAAACATCGTCTTCGACCTGGACATGATCGTAATCCACGTTGTTTTCGATCTGATTATGAGGCTGATTTATCTCCTCAATGACTGGATCCAACGGCTGATTTTGGTTTTGGGGTGGCTGCTGGTTACTGCTCCTTGTTTGGATTGCCATCCCTTATCAGATTTGGTGGGAACTTCAGATTCAAATTCAGAGAAAAGAATCCCCACAGACGGCGCCAATGTTCTGTCCTTGAGACAGAGATGTCTAGCCCAGTTAGGCTAGTACGTTAATATTGGATCTGATGCCTTCTCCAAGGTATCTAAGGGGGAGATACCCTTGAGTCGAGGAGATCACTGTGCACAGAATACTATAGTGGCGTTAGACAATGGGGTGTGTGTGTGCACAGTGACAGCATAACCCAAATATTTTTATTATGGTATAAATTGATCAAAGTTTTAAAGTATCTAAAATATATACATATATATATATATATATTTATTTATTTAATGCTAGCTTACCATAAAAAGTAAATTCAAAATTTCGATGACATGGTATTTTATAATTAAAAATTGAGGTTTATAAATTTTTTGTTGCTGCATCAACACAAAATTTGTAGAATCGGGTCGATACGCACAGCGCCCGAGATAATAAAAAAGGGAAAAAAATTGTGGTCTTCATATTTTATTGTCTCAGCAGCAAAATAATTTTTGGAGCATTAACATAAAATTTATAAACCCCTTAAAAGTTTATAACTAAAGCCAAAAGTTAAATAATTTTTTTTAATAAAAAAAAGTTAAATAACTTAAATCAAGTGTTAAGAGAAACGGTTGATAATATTGGCAATTTCTTTCATTAAAATTATATTAGATACTCAGGAAAATTCTTATCTGTCCATCCATGCATGGAATCAGGGAGAAGAATCAGGAAGAATATCATGTGATTGCAAGAATTTCTGATCTGTATCACAATTAACATCCAAGGATGACATCATAACAAGCAGCAAAACACAAGTTGAATGAGAAGTTTCTATTTCCAAATTCAATTCTGTCAAAAAGTGCATTCACCAATCCTAACCATCGATAGTCATATGGTGTAAATTGATTTTAACTATCGTAATCAAATCTTGAGATATCAAAAATAAAAAACAAATATACATAAAAATTTCTCTACCCCTTGAAATGTTATAGTTACAATTGTCATTAAATATGTCTTAACATTTATTAATCGGATAAATAAGTCAAATGTTTTTATTATGGTATAAATTGATTTTCACGATGGTAGTTTAATTTTTGAAGTACCCAAAATTTAAAATAAACGTATCGGAAATTATAGGACAAAAATTTCTCAATCCTAAGATCGTTATAATTATGGATGTCAATATAAACGTTATAAAATTATAAACGTATCGAACAAAAATTTCTCTACCCTAAGATCGTTATAATTATGGATGTCATTTAACGAATCCAACATTTGTTAATCAGATAAATAACCCAAATATTTTTATTATGGTATAAATTGATCAAATTTATAAAGTATCTAAAATATATATATGTATATATATTTAATGCTAGCTTACCATAAAAAGTAAATTCAAAATTTCGATGACATGGTACTTTTTAATTAAAAATTGGGGTTTATAAATTTTTTGCTGCTGCATCAACACAAAATTTGTAGAATCGGGTCGATACGCACAGCGCCCGAGATAATAAAAAAGGGAAAAAAAATTGTGGTCTTCATATTTTATTGCTTTAGCTGCAAAATAATTTTTGTAGCATTAACATAAAATTTATAAACCCCTTAAAAGTTTATAACTAAAGCCAAAAGTTAAATAATTGTTTTTAATAAAAAAAAGTTAAATAACTTAAATCAAGTGTTAAGAGAAACGGTTGATAATATTGGCAATTTCTTTCATTAAAATTATATTAGATACTCAGGAAAATTCTTATCTGTCCATCCATGCATGGAATCAGGGAGAAGAATCAGGAAGAATATCATGTGATTGCAAGAATTTCTGATCTGTATCACAATTAACATCCAAGGATGACATCATAACAAGCAGCAAAACACAAGCTGAATGAGAAGTTTCTATTTCCAAATTCAATTCTGTCAAAAAGTGCATTCACCTGTTATCAAAAAAAAAAAAAAAGTGCATTCACCAATCCTAACCATCGATAGTCATATGGTGTAAATTGATTTTAACTATCGTAATCAAATCTTGAGATATCAAAAATAAAAAAAAATATACATAAAAATTTCTCTATACCTTGAAATGTTATAGTTACAATTGTCATTAAATATGTCTTAACATTTATTAATCGGATAAATAAGTCAAATGTTTTTATTATGGTATAAATTGATTTTCACGATGGTAGTTTAATTTTTGAAGTATCCAAAATTTAAAATAAACGTATCGGAAATTATAGGACAAAAATTTCTCTACCCTAAGATCGTTATAATTATGGATGTCAATTAACGAATCCAACATTTGTTAATCAGATAAATAACCCAAATATTTTTATTTTGGTATAAATTGATTCTAATGACTGCAATCAAATTTTTAAAGTATCTAAAATTTAAATATATATATATATATATATATATATATATATATATATATAATGCTAGCTTACCATAAAAAGTAAATTCAAAATTTCGATGCCATGTTATTTTTTTATTAAAAATTGGGGCTTATAAATTTTTTGTTGTTGCATCAACACAAAATTTGTAGAACTCGTTAGCTATAGCATTGCACGGGTCGATACGCACAGCGCTCGAGATAATAAAAAAGAGAGAAAAAAATTGTGGCCCTCATATTTTATTGTCTCAGCTGCAAAATAATTTTTGGAGCAGTAACATAAAATTTATAAACCCCTTAAAATTTTATAACTAAAGCCAAAAGTTAAATAGTTTTTTTTAATAAAAAAAAGTTAAATGACTTAAATCAAGTGTTAAGAGAAACGGTTGATAATATTGGCAATTTCTTTCATTAAAATTATATTAGATACTCAGGAAAATAGTTATTTGTCCATCCATGCATGGAATCAGGGAGAAGAATCAGGAATAATATCATGTGATTGCAAGAATTTTTTATCTGTATCACTATTAACATCCAAGGATGACATAATGACAAGCAGCAAAACACAAGCTGGATGAGAAGTTTCTATTTCCAAATTCAATTCTGTCAAAAAGTGCATTCACCAATCCTAACCCATAAATTGATTGATGATTTATGTATTAATGTTTGATTGATGATTTATGTATTAATGTTTGATTGATGATTTATGTATTAATGTTTGATTGATGATTTAGATAAGATGAGTCAACAAACATAAATTGTTTAGATATGATAAGTCAGCATTGAGTCAATAGTGTATAAAGCCAAAATCTGAGTCAAATACATCAATAAAGAAAAAGGAAATAAATGCACGAAACCCATATCCGAGCCCAAAACTTCAACTATAAATAGAGACCTAACCTAACCAAAGCAATTCACTCTGAATCCTCAAAAATTCTCCACCACTCTTCTTTGGTCAAACATAAATTTTTATTTTTATTATTATCTTTCTTTGGTCACCAACCACTTCTCTTCCCCAAGTTGTAGAAGTCACCAAACACGGAGACCAGGTAATCCTAATCTCTAGGTGGTTGTAGATTCGTTTTGTATGAAATTTTATTGTGTGTATCCTAATCTTTAGTTAGAAATTTATGAGATTTAAATAAATGCATAAGACATATTTCCTTTATTTAAACTTTAGTCTTTGGTTTTATTTTAATGTAATAAATTTAGCCTTGCACCTGTCCATTGTACAGGTGCGGCGGTAACATTCCCCAAATTAGATTTAGATTAGCTTTCGCAATATTTCTATTATTATAATTGTAAAAAAAAAAATGTGACAATTTATTTATTATAAGATTGTTTTATAAAGTGTTAGAAATTTGGGGTGTTACAGTTATCTTAGGACCATTTTGTTTCACGTGAAAGATGTTGTTTTTTGGAGCATTGTTATTCATTAGTTGCATTGTAACTCAATTGCTTCATCTGTGTGGTCTTTATTTCGGCGCTTTCCCTGTAACCTAATCATTGCTTTTGTTTACCATAAATGGCCATTTCCTATCACCGTTTCATTCAATGAAAGTGATAACCTTAAATTCATCATATTGTTCTATTATCCATTCAGAACCAATGACTTTTATTATTATTTTTATTTTGTTCTATTATCCATTCAGAACCAATGACATTTATTGATATGGTTCATTTCTTCTCTATATGTCATTCCCATTCTCAACTGTTGACAGACACTCTTTCATTCTCTGGAATCTAACCATAAATGTTTGCTTATTTTGTTGCTGTTCAAGATAAGATGAGCTTTTTAGCGAAGATGTTTTTGTTCATGAATCCGTGTGCCAAGCCAACCCCCGTTGATGGGGATGAAGATGACCATGGGAACGGCACGCCGAACACAAAAGAAGCCGTCAAGGGTCTGTCGTTGCAGGTCCATAATACTCTCTCCCTCTCTCTCAACAAACATTGTTTTTTTTTCATCTTCTTTTTCCATCTTTGTTAAAACAAACAAAATCAAACCAAATGTTTACCTTCTTCTTTATTTTGCTTCCTTTATATTTCCTTATTAGTTTACCTTCTTCTTCATGCTCTTCCTTCTTCCTTATGATGTGTAACATCCCGTTACGTACCGGGAATGTTATCATTGCATATGGTATTAAGCGCAGTTACAATCACAGTAATTGATTTAATTAAATTACGGGTAAACTTTTTCTTTTATTACATTCATTTCTTTAAACATTAACCATTTTCGTAATCAATTAAAACAACGCCATAATTGTAAATGCAAAACTCGCGGAAGCATAAAACATACCAAATATAATCTCTCTAAGCAATACCATTTTTTTTAGGCTTTAGAAAACACATTTTTAAAATTTAACACAGTGGTAATCGATTACCACCTTGAGGTAATCGATTACCAAAGGTTACTGTAGAAGTCAGAACCTTAATTTGGGCTCCCCTGTTTTCTGGTAATCGATTACCAGAGATTGGTAATCGATTACTGAACTAGGTAATCGATTACCAATGCTCTGGTAATCGATTACTTGGAAGACAGAAGCTCAAATTTATGAAATCTGACCCTGCTATAGTGTTCTGCCCATAACTTGAGTTATACAACTCCAATTTACACAATCTCGGTCTCATTGGAAAGCTAAGAGAAAGGCCTACAACTTTCATGAAGGCCAACGGGTTCAATTCTATTATATAAGGAGTGAAATGCTAGTAAAAACTAGGTTTATTTTAGAAATTTCGGCAAAACCTCCTTTGTTTTTACAACTCTCCAAATTTTGCCAAAGCAACCTAAGACATCAAGACATATATATATCAAATGGGTGGCACACACAAGGACCAACAAGCCTCGGGGCAATTACAACCCATCACAGTTCATCATTCCTATACTATATTGATTAGGTTTCAATCATAAGGTCCATTTGCATGCATTTGAACATTATTCACATATACAATCTTGAACTAGGCCTAAAGCCCTTTACATTACATTACATGCTTCCAATACATTATAGGTGGCTATGGACATGTTCTCATGCTCACTCCAAATATACAAATGGATCAAAACATAGTTATACATCATTTATTTGCAAGACTACATCTAGTCATGAATATACACAGCAGGGCATTTCAACATGTACAAATTCATAATCTAAATACAAAGCATAAAATCCTATACTACGCATATTCAACAGAATCTTCTAACATGCTAGGCCCTCCAAATGATCCTCACGCTATACTCTTCCACTAAGCAGGCCTCTTGCCCGGAGATCCACCATGCTCAGCAAGACCTGAAATGATGTCCCCAAACGCGGGGTGAGATATACAAATATATCTCAGTAAACCAAGGATACTAGAGGATCACTCCACCCCATGGCTCACTCAATGTGCATCCAATGATCATCATATAAAATGCATAACATACAATATCACACAACAACAACTGGGCACAAATCCAAGGACATCCACATCAGGATTCCCTTAAAGGACCCCATCATATAACTCCCAGAATCTTCCTGGTGCCTCTCCCATGGTTGAGACGACCCTATGGCAAAACCCAAATGGAACTCCTCATGAGACCTATCCAGCGGAAGTCCCACGTTTGGATCATCCTAGTACCGCTCCCAGAGTCGGTTCCACGGCAAAACCCGACCGGAATCCCCAAAGGATATCTCCAGCGGACGTCCAAACCAACACACATCTACTGGCCAGAGATCACAATTATTTCACACAACATGCTCCAAGCATGTCACACAATCATGTCAATAATGCATGAACATACATTTATACATAATCAAAGGCATCAAATCCAACCACAACCTTCCACTAGGTGTGGTGGAACACACGAGGGAATAAAACCCAAGTTCCAAAGGTTTACCTCATTCCGAAGCCAATGCTCCACAACGTAAGCTCCAAGCTTAATTCCGCCCTATTGAGTCCGAGGGAGGAAACCTATAATGATCAATCAACATGATCATTAACACAATTTCAAAACAACAAATTCACTTTTAAAATACAATAATTCTCAACAAAACAACTTAGGCCTAATGGCCAACTACATTTACTCCAATTACTTCAACCATTTAAGTCATTAAACTAAATCACCACTTATGCACTAAGGCATCACTCATTGGTTATACCACATTTTCACATCATTTTCCTTATTTCCTTGAATATGGTTGAAATCTCACACACACATCACATCCAACATTTCTCCTTTCAATTTCACTACACCAAACCAACCTACCATTCATTTAAACACCAATCACGATCCTATAACATCAACTATATCATTTTTAAATCATCTAACCATGTATCAACCATTGATTAAAGCCATTTTTCACTTCAATTCTTCCTTCTCACTACATGGTTCGAAAATCACAAGGAACCATCCAACAAGGTTCTCAATCCAATTCAACACTTATACTCATCATATAATCCTATTATTTACATATACCAACAGTCCATAATTCAATTATTCAATTACACCACATACCAATTTCACAAGGTCTTGAAAACTCAACACAAAATTTGCCTAAGTTAAAATTCCCACATCACTATAAATTTTATTGTATCAATCATCATCATTTGTCATTCTAAGCATTTAATTACAAAAGAGACATATCATTTGAAGCTCCTAACTATCATCACTTAACATACAACTTCAAAACCCTCATCAATATTATGATCTCACCAAAAACCAAGTGAGGGTGAGAAACATTACCACCAATAGCTTGCAAGTGGTCCAAGGAGTGATAATCAAGCCTCCACTCAAGCCAAAGCACCATCAATGGCCCTCAAAATCCACAAAACCGCCACCTCTTCACCATGGAAGATCTCATCACACACTCACTTTCAAGACTCTCTCAAGAAGGGACACATACTCACAACCTCAATGCAAACAACTTTGATGTTGGAACTCTATTGATTTGGTGGCTAGATTTCAAGTTGGGAAAATCAAAAAAACTCTAAAGCTTCATCCATGGAGACGCTCACGGGAGAGGAGAAGAGAGGGAGGAGAGAGAAAATGAGAGAAAAGTGGGTCATAAGCCACTTAAGTCACTCCAATCCCTAGGTGGGTCCCACACTCGATTTAACTTTAATCAATCACTAATTTCAACCACAAATTCATAACCTACGTATTTTTCTGGTTCATGTCATATTTTTGTTTCCTAAAAGTATTGATAAAATTTCATGCTTATCGGTACAATTATACCGCAGTATTTTTACACCGGGAAAATCACTATTCATCAAAATTTTCAAAACTTGCCTATTCACTCGATTTTTCGTCCTGAATCCATTTCCGGCATTATTTTTATCATTTGAGGTCTTCTACTCAATTTTTCATGCCTCGGGTTACGTGTTAGGTAATTTACCATTTTGCCCTTTTCACACAGTTTGGCCTTAATTTCCAGATTTTCACTAATCCTTCCCTTTTAACCCACATTATAGCATATAATTTCATATTTAGATTTACGAGGTGTTATATGATGCCTCTCCTAACTATTTCGAACCAAATGTTTCTAAATTGTGTGAAAAATTGGACAAGTAATATTTGGATAGAAATTACTAGAGATTTCTACAAATAAAAAATGCTTTCCATTGGGGGTACATAGTTGATAGTAGGATATATAGATATATAGACTTTCACGTTCAAGGATGTTGTTGTCATCCACATGCATGTATTCTCTACCAAGTACATTCTCCACTAGCCCAGTTGTAAAGGTATTGTATGATGCTTTGAAAATGACCTAAGCCTGAAACCTTAAGACTCCATGGTATGTATTAATTGTATGGTACATGATTAAGACTTTTAAATGCATTGATGCTAATTTGAATTTTTATTCTGCATATGCAGATTAAGGATCTGGCGCTGAAGCTTTCATGGAAGAAAATCAAAGCTGGCAACCCCAAGAGCATCAAGTATGACACCGTTTCTGAAGAGGGGGTTCCATACGGCTACATTGGTGGTGGAAGCGCAAGTTCAACCCCTGCTTTGGACTACACAAACCCCAATCAATCCCCAATTGGTAACACCACCCCTGGAGGGCGTCAACCTCAACCACCAGCTGGTAGTGTAGCGATGGTGGACGTGACTGGATCCAACAAGTGGATAGCAAAGATGGAGCCAGGTGCTCACATCACCGTTGTGTCTCTTCCTACTGGGGGCAATGATCTCAAAAGGATTCGCTTCTGGTATGTATAATATGTCCCAAGTTTTGAAAATATATGTAGTACCTTAGAGACCTTCAAATATATATATATATATATGAGAATTTTAGTTGTTGAAAAAAAAAATTAATTATCATGTAGTAATAAAGACTTACAATACTTGTTATTCAAAAAAAAAAAAAGACTTATAATACTTGGCATTTAAATTTGAAGCCGAGACATGTTTGATAAGCCGCGAGCCCAGAGGTTGTGGGCTGAGAATTACGACAGGATCAGGGAGCTTCATAATATACATAATTTAAATCAACATGTTTTCAACACTCCTGCAAGGTCTAATGATGATGAGGTAATCTACAACTTTTACACACACACGTAGACCTACATATAGCCTACATACACACACTCATATGATGTTTTTTTATATAAAATATACATCATACGGATGCCTTGTTATCTAGGCGGGGATTGTTTTGGTTTAGGATGATGTAACTCCGTGTGTGTTGTGTTTTGTCCACTTTTTCGTGTACAAGGCTGGTCCACTTCCTCTCACGGATTGGATTGGTCCATTTATTGGTTTATTTATATGCATGAGGTGGTTCCGTGGTTCTGACCTGAAGTGACCACCATGATCAACCAATCAAGCCGGTCCTAATCCCTTTGTTTTTTTTATAGTTATAAATTAGGGAACCAACTTTTCAAGTGGGTTCTTACGACTCTTCTCTTTTTAGCCACTTAAAATTGCACATGAGATTATTCACTTACCATCATTATCCTGTTTTTCAAAAGTTTTCTATTATGTGTCGATGCAAATTATATGATTTAGTATGGCAGGAAAGTATATAGTTGGTGTGGCCAGGTATGGATTGCATTTATGGCAGAAGCATGTTTATATCTATAAGCAACTATTTGTTTTTACACCATTATTCCATTATCCACGAGCCTCTTTATTTTGCTTCTTTTATATTTGCTTATTAGTTTACCTTCTTCTTCATGCTCTTCCTTCTTCCTTACGATGCCTCTCCTAACTATTTCGAACCAAATGTTTCTAAATTGTGTGAAAAATTGGACAAGTAATATTTGGATAGATATTACTGGAGATTTCTACATATAGAAAATGCTTTCCATTGGGGGTACATAGTTGATAGTAGGATATATACATATATAGACTTTCACGTTCAAGGATGTTGTTGTCATCCACTTGCATGTATTCTCTACCAAGTACATTCTCTACTAGCCCAGCTTTAAAAGTATTGCATGATGCTTTGAAAATGACCCAAGCCTGAAACCTTAAGACTCCATGGTATGTATTAATTGTATGGTACATGATTAAAACTTTTAAATGCACTGATGCTAATTTGAATTTTTATTCTGCATATGCAGATTAAGGATCTGGCGCTGAAGCTTTCAGGGAAGAAAATCAAAGGTGGCACCTCCGAGAGCATCAAGTATGACACCGTTTCTGAAGGGGGGTTCCACACGGCTACATTGGTGGTGGAAGCGCAAGTTCAACCCTTGCTTTGGACTACACAAACCCCAATCAATCCCCAATTGGTAACACCACCCCTGGAGGGCGTCAACCTCAACCACCAGCTGGTAGTGTAGCGTTGGTGGACATGACTGGATCCAACGAGTGGATAGCACAGATGGAGCCAGGTGTTCACATCACCGTTGTGTCTCTTCCTACTAGGGGCAATGATCTCAAAAGGATTCGCTTCTGGTATGTTTAATTTGTCCCAAGTTTTGAAAATATATGTAGTACCTTAGAGACCTTCATATATATATATATATATGATAATTTTAGTTGTTGAAAAAAAAAATTAATTATCATGTAGTAATAAAGACTTACAATACTTGGCATTTAAATTTGAAGCCGAGACATGTTTGATAAGTCGCGAGCCCAAAGGTGGTGGGCTGAGAATTGCGACATGATCAGGGAGCTTCTTAATATACAGACTTTAAATCAACGTGTTTTCATCACTCCTGCAAGGTCTGATGATAATGAGGTAATCTACAACTTTTACACACATATGATGTTGTTAAGAGTTAAGACTCTATTTCATCGACCATGTTATTTTTCATGATACTTCAATTCATGTTTATCACTATATCGTGAGAAGAGGTTGACATAAATAAGAGCTCTCTATTGGATTCTCGAGATTCATTCATGTACATTACTATTGCCTTTGAACAGAACTCGGGGGAATCTGAACAAGATATCCCAATGGCTTCAATGCTGAACACGGATTCGACTCCGGGGAATTTCCATGCACCCGCTGGGAATATGGAGTATTTCCATCGTGGGATATCAAGGGCTAACAACCCTACTGACAATGACATGGATGCTGAATGGGTTGAGCAGGATGATCCTGGAGTGTCAATCACTGTGAAGAGGTCAGCTAATGGGACCAGGGAAATTCGCCGTATCAAATTCAGGTAATATAAAATGCATATCAAAAACATGTTCCTTATTGTTTTTTCCTTCACAATTAGATGGTCGTAGGAGCATGTTCTTTGGTGAAATTAGGAAATGGTAAAATCCTAGATTGCATGTAACGCCAAATTTCATTTAAAAATTTATTTAGAAGATTAGTGGGTTTTGATTTGACTCTTTGTTAACTTTGTCTGCAGCCGGGAAATTTTTGATGCAGATGCAGCCAAGGATTGGTGGCTGCGCAACAGGGTTCGAGTTCATGGTCAGTATATGTGAAGCCTTGTTGCTGTGAAGAAAAGTGGATGTTCTAAACTGCTGGAATTTTCAACTTTTCTTTCCTAGACATTGTTATTTTCTTCTTGTTGTTGTTCACTCCAGTTTATGGAGTGTAGTCTTGGTGATGGTCTCTTAATATGTTCTAGTTGGTACTGTTTCGTAAGTTTAAGTTTGTGGTTCTCTATTTACTCCAATGACTGTGGGGTATATTGCTGTTGATTTATCTTTGGTTGAACATTTGGTAAGTTTGGTTATTTAAGACCAACTTGCTCTTTTATAATATATATTTTCCTTGTGTGGTTTATCAGCGCAAGCTTGTGAAAACCCTATATGTTGATGAATGATACGTAATCTTTTCCCGAAATCCTTAGAGATCCTTCTTAAAACTTAAAAATATATATTTAATCGATTATAATATATACGTAATCTTTTATAATATATACGTAATCTTTTTGGAGATTTAATCGATTAAGTTGAAGAGTTAATCGATTAAATCTTCAAGTCAACCATTTTTGTCAGTTTTGACCTTTTAATCGATTAAATCTTCAACTTAATCGATTAAAGAGGGACAGATTGATAGATGGTTTTGAATGAGAGACAAAATAATTATTAATTAATTAATGAAGGGTAAAAGGGTCAAAAAGCCGAAAACATATCCTTTTTAAAATGTCATGATTTGAATAGTCTTACTTTTTTTCACGTGTTTCTTTTTTGATGTTACAAGAGAAAGGCATAAAAATAACTATAATAAAACCTGTCAATTATTCATATAAAATTTATAAAACTTAATTTAGTGTCCCAAATTCGATTTGAATAGATAAAAAGGTGGCACTGTACTTTTTTTGGAAATATTCCATTTGGTTCATTGCTTCGCAACTAATCCGATTCAATTTGAATAGATAAAAAGGTGGCACTGTACTTTAAACAAAGCACAACGATCAATTAACAAAATCACAACAATAATAATACGATAGATCAAGA